CTGACCAGATGACCTAATTTTCAAGGTAGATTAAAAACTAAGGGAAACCTGCCCCTATACCACCTATGGTTTCACTTTAAATATTAGAAGAAAATAAGAGTTATCCATTCGTAAATAAAGATCACTTGCCTTGGCTTTTCCCTGGAAGTTAAAGGTCAGCACATATTCACCGGGCCGGGTTTCACTCTGCCGAATGACAAACAATCCATGGCTTTTGGCTCCACCAAAGAGAACTAGCTGGGCTGCTTTGACCCGTGATAGCGTCCCATGGAACCAAGGGAACTCCATGAGATTGATTTCTGTTTCCAGCTCACTTTCGTCTCCTGTCACAGTAGGGAAATAGGAACAGTAGAACACAAAAGCTGAATGCCCTACATTCAGCACAGCATTACATTCACTGCAATGCCATCTGGATGGATGCTTGGGTAGAGGATGCAGGAGAAATTACTGAAGGCTCTTCCACTTACAAAGACCAATATATGGTTGCACCTAAATGCTCTTTCAGCAAAGAGATATGGCTAATGCTATCTCTTCGGTGAATCAAATGTATCTGTAAATACATTACAGTGCATACTTTTCTACTTCTCAGCTCAAATTATTTAGACATATACTTAAAAGCCGTAGTGTACAAATCAGTGCACTTTATATCTGGGAGAGCTAATTGAGAGAGCTAGTAGGAGTTTGGTTGTGAAATTCAGCAGGAGGAAGAGGGGAAAGAAACCAAAGAACTGTTTTCTTAGGGGCTGTGTGCTCAGTTGTGTGGAATGAAAAGATTATCTCCTGCATAACTGCTAATGGCAAAGATATGTCCGGAGAGCTGTTGATGGCTCATGGGGGGGACTGAGTGAATGCTTCATACAAGTCACTCAACAAGCAGAGGCTGCTGCTGAATGAATATAAGGCAGACCATTTTCAAACAGTGAACAAATAGGGAAAGCTAACAGGAGTTTGGCAGGGGAACTTAAGAGGAATCTCCCTAACATATTTTTCCCTAAGTGGTCAGTAGGTATTCAGCTAACCTAAGACTGGAACAAGAAGAAATAAAAAACCTGTAGTCTTTAAGAAACAGAAATGAAGAGGATTGGACACACTCCACAATTATGACCTTCATTCTTGAAATATGTGTGTCTAAAAACAATGTGTTATACATATGCAGCAAGTACAAACTTGCAGCTGTGCATGAATAAAAAGCACAGCAATTGGCAACACTTAGTGGCAACACTTCAGCTCATAAAAAAGGACAAAAATTTATTAGCCTAGTAAAGATTACAATGAGAACTGACAGAGGAAACATCCCTCTGTAAGTAAAACAACTGAATAAAGGAACAAAATGGGAGTAACAACTAGAAATACATCTTCTGTGCCACTGAAAGTCAAAAATAGCTTTGAGGCCTTTGTAGAAAAAACAGGTTTTAAGTCTTCAATGGCAGAAGAAGAGATACTATTGAATAGAGGGCGTATTTGTGTAACTGTGCCCTGCAAGAAGAGAGTCTTTGTAGTTGGTAATTTACAACTACATTGAACAAACCTGCTGACTGATCTTATCAGCTCATAGAAGGCACTGTCAGCCAGAATCAGAGATTAACTGTAATGGAATAACTTCTAAGTCTTATCAATTCTACTGACAATTATCTTTTCCTGCAACTTGGGTCTGAGTTTTCTGAACAAAGGACTGCTGGCAGGAGATGTTGCACCTCATGAAGACTTGGCAGATGGTGTTGTCCAAAGCACATTAAACTTGATTAAGAGGGATTTAAACTGACTCTTGTGGGGATTGAAGATACAAGTCCTGAAGTAAGGACTTTGGATAATGATTTTTGCACTGTAAAAAAGAAGTGGGAGTATTCTCTATTAAACCATTCAGTGAAAACTCAGAAGGAATATTGGCTCATAAACATCATCAGTTTCAGTGTCTGTACATTGTTACCATATGGGAAATAAGATGAGCCTAAACTCATAGTACAGGAAGTAAAAATGATTTAACATATATAACTGAGAATCAGAGTACAAGTGGTCCCGGGTTAAGAACGCCCGGTTTAAGGATGACCCATAACTAAGAATGGAGCCTACTATAGCAAAATTCAAGTTAAATACACAATGATTCGAGTTAAATACACAATGCAAATTCATTACACAATATTACTTACACAGTACAGTATTATACAATAATACTGTTCTGGCTTACATACAAATTCAACTTAAGGACAGACCTTGGGAACGGAAGTCATTGTATTATACAATAATACTGTTCTGGCTTACATACAAATTCAACTTAAGGACAGACCTTGGGAACGGAAGTCATTGTATTATACAATAATACTGTTCTGGCTTACATACAAATTCAACTTAAGGACAGACCTTGGGAACGGAAGTCATTCTTAAACTGGGGACTACCCGTATAGCAATTGAAGGACAAAATTCATTTAAAAGGAATCAGTATTCCAATTCGCAGTGCTAATGAAATGCTAACAGATAAGAAAGGTGAAACTACTGAATTCTTACTGGGGCTCAGTCTTCTCCAGCATGAGGTTATAAATAATTGTGAAGGAGCAGGATCAAAAACTGAGACTGATAAACCTTTGCACATTATCTCTGAGAAATCTTGGAGAATGGGTGAAATGCCAGATGATTGGAGGAGGGCAAGTTTTCTGTTTTCAAAAAGAGAGAAAAAAGAGAATCCAGGGAACTACAGAGCACTCACAAACCTAGGAAAGCACTAGACCAAATAATAAATGATTAAACTCTAGACCAAATAATAAATGATTAAACTCTAGACCAAATAATAAATGATTAAACTCTAGACCAAATAATAAATGATTAAACTCTAGACCAAATAATAAATGATTAAACTTTAAGCACCTGAAGAAACAAAGCTGTGCTTACCAGAAGATAGCATGGACTTGTCAAAAACAAGTCCTTATTACACTAGCTGTATCTCATATTTTATTACACAACTTCCTTATTAGGTTGTGGGAATGCTAGGGATGAAATATATCTTGATTTCAGGAAGGCACCTGACAAAGATATTCTTCCGAGCAAGTCAATTCAGCATGGGTTGGATGGCATGTCTATAAGATGTTTCTACAACTCATTCAAAAACTAGTAAGTGTCATCAACAGTTCTTCATCTTCAGACGAAGAAAGTATAGAATAGGATGCCACAAGATTAACTTCTGGGGCTTGTACTCTTCAGCATTTTTATTAATGACTAGAATGAAAAGATGGAGAGAATGCTTATCAGATTTGAAGATGACACAAAATTGGGTAAGATAACTGATACAACTGAAGACAAAAATAAAATGCAAATAAACTTTCTAGCAGTATGGGAAGCTCAATAGTGGAATCAATTGCTCAAAGAGATGATGAAATTCTCTTCACTGGGTATCATCTTGTGGAGGCTTCAGAGCTCTCAGGCTTCACACCAGGCATGGGTGTAAATCTCAGCTCTCCAGATATTTAACCCTTTATTGTAGACTTGAGTTACTTGGCAAAAGGCTGTCATATTGACTAGAGAAGACTTGTCTCTTCATTACTGACAAGAATTAAGTCAGATACACACAGAATATTTATCTACTGAAGTACATAGAAATTATGCTTATATAAGGGTCTGTACTCCAGGATTTACATTCTTGACTTTTTCCTCCTACCATCTTGGCTGTTCTCTTGATAGCCTTGGAAGGTATCTAATCTATGCTGACAATGTTTCTCTCTAGCCTGAGAATCATAGGTTCCTATATTACAACTTTATTCATTACAAAAGCCAACTTGTCGATATGTTTTTATTTCATTTTATATTTTTTTACTGTATAGAGCAGAGGTTGGACTTGATGGTTTAAATAAGCCTGCCCAACCTTATGATTCTGTCATGCTAGACTGTTTGCCCATATAGCTCATTATTACTACCTAGTCTCACTTAGCAGCTCGTTCAGGATTTCTAGCTGTTCCTAGCCATTTGTCATAAATAATTGGAACAACTCTGAAATTGCTAAGAATGTGAGAAAAGAATGGGTGTTGATAACAAAATGTAACTTTTAGCAAAATTGTTAATTGTTGACACACATGATTCAATACTTTGTGGTGTACACAGTGCTAGCAATACAGAAGGAAGGAAGGAAGGAAGGAAGGAAGGAAGGAAGGAAGGAAGGAAGGAAGGAAAGAAGGAAGGAAGGAAGGAAAGAAGGAAGGAAGGAAGGAAAGAAGGAAGGAAGGAAGGAAAGAAGGAAGGAAGGAAGGAAAGAAGGAAGGAAGGAAGGAAAGAAGGAAGGAAGGAAGGAAAGAAGGAAGGAAGGAAGGAAAGAAGGAAGGAAGGAAGGAAAGAAGGAAGGAAGGAAGGAAAGAAGGAAGGAAGGAAGGAAAGAAGGAAGGAAGGAAGGAAAGAAGGAAGGAAGGAAGGAAAGAAGGAAGGAAGGAAGGAAAGAAGGAAGGAAGGAAGGAAAGAAGGAAGGAAGGAAGGAAGGAAGGAAGGAAGGAAGGAAGGAAGGAAGGGGAGGAGGAGGAAACAACATGCTTTTTGGATGGGAGAATGAACAGCTGATCTTTTCTAAGCTGTGAAAAAAATAAAATTCTAGCTCCAGATCATCAGAGGAGCAGAATTACAATACCTGCTGTGTGACTGCTGTTGGCTGGAGACTCCAGTGTCTGCAAAAAGTTCTCTAGTGGCACATGTGCTCTATATTCCCCTGCAGAGATCCTGCCATGTGGTGCTGTGACAATTGTGGCAGCATTTGATATGCTATCTGAGGCAGTCGAGCCAGCACATCTATCCTGACACCGGGTCACATCTGCAAGACAATTTTATTTTCTTTTTTTAAAAAATGCATGCTGCTTTTCAAAATCACATTTTTCTATGACAGATGACTTACAGGCTCAAGGCTCCCAATTGCCTCAGATCATTATTTCTTTCATTACATTTTTTAAAGGTACTGTTTCAGATCCTTGAGTTACCTGTTTAAGCCAGGGATAATAGGACAAAAGAAAAGTTTATGGATGCCCCAGGCTCTTTCATATCACCTGCATTCTGCTACAATAAAAATTAGTACCTCTGGTTGGAGACTGGCAAAGTTCAAACAAAACTTTTTGCTATGGTGGGTACCTAAAAATTAAACTTTTACCAAAATCAGTGTTTAAACAAAATAACAGAAGTATGATCTAATTTTTAAGAGAACCCTTTTTTTAAAAAAAAAATCTTATTACCATCAGCCAGGAACTCACAGCTACAAGATGACACTCTGCTGGGCAGGCATGCTCCTTGGGTGCAGGAAGAGAGTTCAATGTCATCACCACTGTCCCTGGAAAGAAGAGAAGAGTGGGCATTTGGACAGGGGGTGATGCTGCACCAGTGAGTTTCTGCAGCTGTATGCTGAGCACTGGAAGGAAGGGTAGAGCAGAGGAGGGGATGCAAAGTTATCATTCACCAATTAGAGAGGATTCCCATAAAACATATATTTTTTAAATCTTACTAAAGATCCAGAGATGGTAACCTTTTTACCCGGAATACTGCTACATCTGTTCAGAGTGATGGGAAAGCTTTCCTTTGTCTACTCACTTTCACTTGCTCACTCATCTTCACCCCATAAATTAGGACTGTGAGAGGGGAGACTGACTCTTCCCTACCCTTCCCAAACCTGGAGAAATATTATCCTGGTTTATATGTATGGTGACTATTATAATGGCAGGAGGACTTAATGCTTACCCAGTCTGTGGGGAGACCTGGGCAGCATGGAAAAGGGGGGAGTAGAGCAGTTAAAAATGTGCACTTGCTACTCATTTCCTTCCTAAAAATGTGTGCTTGCCACTCATTTCCTTCCCTTGCTGACTCTTATAGAAAGCTAAAATAGAGATCTGACAATATCTATAGATTCAAAGCATTTTTCTCCCCTTTGGGAAGGCTGGGAGAAATAGAAGTTTATAGGTAGTCATGAGTATAGAGGCTCTCCCCTATCATTTGTCCCTAGCAGTTGGCAACACAAGATAGAATACCTTTGGACACTGAGGTTCTAATCCTTACTATCATGGCTAATAAGAGCCCTGCTGAGTTGGAACAAAAGTTTATTTAATTTGTCATTCTGTTTCTCCAAATAGTCGACCACATGGTTACAGGAGAAAACATCCTTTAGATCATGGATGGGCCATCTCTGGCCCCAGAACTCTAGTGAATTTCAACTCTTCTTACTGCAGAGCCTCCTCTGACTATAACTACTGAAAACTGATGCCACAATTCCCCACCCATTCGGAGACAGCAAACAAATGAATACTATAGTATATAGGTACACTTTAAAAGGTAGCATAACACTGTGACAAAGAAAACTCCCAATGGGCACAAACAGAAGGGAAAAAATACTGGCAATTTTCAGTATAGAATACTGTAAATCAACTAGAATTCAGAGATCAGCTTCTTCAGAGGCTTGGTAAGAGCAGAAAGGGCTACCTGCTGTCTCTCTGTATGAAAACATTGTACGTTTGCCTTTCAGCCAATCAACACAGGGTTTGTGTCATTGCATCAGATAATCATTATTGATTGAAACTACAGTAGAACTGCCTACAGCTTGTAGTTTCTAGAAAAAGCTTTCTTCTTCTAGAGGAGACTATTGTCCATTGTAACCATTACTTAACCTGATCCTTTTATTTTTGTTAAATGTGAATTGAATGTGAGAACTTCTGTATAGAAAGCACATACTTTAGGGCTACCAGATCTAGGCTGTAAATCTGGACAATGGCTAGATGGCTGAGAAGAGAGTTTCCTGTAATTCTCTGCTGCCTTCTAGTGGCTGTGCAAAGTTTTGCAGCACAGATATGGTGGCCCTAGTAGACTTGACTAGTTCAGAACTGTAGCATTCACAACAGAGAGGGAGGGGCTCACCAAAAGCTAATCACCCCAACTTTTACACAGCTGAAGGAAGCAGTAGGTACCATTCTATTTGCATGTATGCATGCGTGTGTGTATATATAATCTTTGCACCTTTTGATTTCATTTTTTTAAAAAATAAACATCAAGTTAAATGGTCAGCTGGAAAATGTCCAAGAAAAATCCCATTGTTAATATTTTGAGGAAGTTTCTGCACCCAATAAAGTCTGACAAAGCAAAAATGCTAGCTAGCTATAACCTAGCTATAACCTGGTCCACTTGCCCAGAGAAAAGATAACATGGAGTGGTAAAGAACATAATGGGAGCTAATAAGAGTACTAAGAAGATATCTCAACATCTTCTTAGTACTGCTAAATGACTATTTTGTGACTGCCATACCCACCAGTGTCCATTCTGCAAATAGGAAGGCCCTCTATGAAAGCCATTTTGTGGTCACACCTGTTGTACCTTCTCAACATTTCAAAATGTGCCCAATGGCCGAAAAAGGTTTCTACTCTTGTTCTACGTGCTTACCTTTTCTAAAAAGGAATTTAGATTTACAAAAGAGAATAAATACTTAAATATCCCCAGCGTACCCAAAAAACAGCACCCATTTAAAATGGATAGTAAAAGGTTTGCTAAATACTCAACAGTCACCAAAAGTAAGGCTTCTTCAATCTGGGAGAAAAGTTTGCAGAAGAAGGAGCTAGACAAGTGCATTTTTGTTCGACAAATTCATCACAGAGTGACAGCAGTGCACAAAAAGATCCAGTCTTTTCAGTACTCAGTGCCCACTTGCCAAGTCTTCCAAGGTAGTAACTAAGAGCAATGGCTCTGACACCCTTCTTAAAACCCAGATAAATGTAAGCAATACCGAAGACAACCTGATCAGAAGATCCAAGGAAATCCTTGGGTAGCAGGTTGCTACTGATCTGTGAGATATTCTATTTTCCACACTGAGCTATTCTAGCAATTCAGGGACACTTGTTAAGCATGCTGAATATCAGGTCACCATGTCATCTTACCCAGGATCTATGCAGTCTTGTATGTCCGCCACCCAGGAATGTTTCTGCAACGAATCAATTGTTTCAAGGATATATTCAGCACCATTTTCTACCTAGATGGAAAACGTATACATTTATGAACATACCAACATTACAGAAAGCCATTGTTTTGGATACTTTGTGAGCAACAGAAAGGTAGCATAAAATTAGAATCCTAGCTCCCAAATTCTTGATTCTGTAGCAAAAGGGATTTTTGATACCTCCTTTCCATCCAGTCTGGTATAAAATCTATTACCAGCTCAAGCATGATGAGATAACAGAAGGGCTACCAGATCTGTGCTGAATAACTCCCGACAATCGCTAGGTGACAGTAAAGAAATGCAGAAAATGGTAACTCTTTTCTGTCATCTATCCATTTCCAAAATCTCGGTCTTTAGTTCAGAATCTCTCTGTCTCTTTTTAAGAACATGGCAATTGTTTTGCTGGGTTGGGCTCAACCTGAGCTCACATATAGACCTAACATTACTACATTTCTGTTCAGATTGTATTCAAAGTAACATACAACCATCCATGTTCATTGCAGAATGACACCATGGGAGAGGCTGGGATATGAGGTAGGTCACCTATCCTAGATCATTCAGTGAACTTTATTGGATTTGAATCTGGGGCTGCCTGGTCCTGTTTTAAAACTATCTGCCACCATATTGCCTAAAACAGTATCTCTCAACCTCAGCAATTCAGTTGAAGACTACACATCTTAAAGTAGATAGGGTTGAGAAACACTGCAAATGGAGGAACACTTGTGAAAGCCCCATAATGCTAGTAATTCCTTGCAAACAGAAAGGCAGCTAGCAGGCAAACAAGTATGTTAAATACTTGTAGTGCCAACTTTCTTTTTACGGGGTGCTCTTCTTCAGACTTAGAGAGGATTTACAACTGAACCTGGAGATGTTAGCATAGCTAATATGTGGCTACCAGATATAGGCTGCAAAAATACAATCACCGGATGGGTGAATGGGTTATAGTTTTAAATATTTATTTATTCATTCATCATATTTATATAGCTGCCCATCTCACACAAGGTGACTCTGGGCGGCATACAACAATTAAAAAAATAAATACATAAAAACAATTACACATAAAAAACTGTAAAAACACACAAAACAGCAGGGGATAAAATTAATAAGGGAGCCATCGTAAAATCTCCCGGGTCCCCTGGGAGCCCCAGGCCTGATCACATAGCCAGGTCTTGAGGGACTTGTGAAATGTTGAGAGGGATGGAGCTAATTTCACTTCTGATACCTCTTTGTTTCCTTGTCATGATCACCCAGATTTTTGCAACCCAGATATGGTGGCCCTAGCTAAGAGCCACCGGGAACCATCTATTAACTTGTCCATTCCTTTTACTAGAGGAGGGAGATTCAGCACTCTTCTGTTAAAGTCAAACTTTATCCACTGTTTTCTGTTGTAAACTTGCTGTATGTGTGAACAGAACAAAAAGGTGAAAAGCATTTTGTAGCAGTGATGTCCTCAAGTTAATTAATACATCAGCTCCAGAAGTACTGCTTGCTTGGATCAGTGACAGTGCTAATTACTACTGAGAGCTGAATTAACTGATACTGTTTGTCCTTTACAACTTTGCAGAATTAAAAGCAAATAAATCACCAGCCCAGGAACTGGATCTGCAGTGAAATCAATATCTCTTTCCCCACATGCCCAATCTGGCTCCCCCTCACCTATTTTATGATAATAATACAAATTACATAAAAAATGTTACGTTTGACTTTGAATTTTAGCAGACTAAAAGTCAAATCAATTCATAAAAGGTGCAGAGGAGGAAAGACTGACTTTTCAGTCAACAAAAAACCTGATAGGCAAGTATGTTCACCACCTTGAGTTAGTCAGAAAGATAGACAGACAGACAGACATAAAATGTGGGATAAAAATAATAACAACAACAACAACAACAATAGCAGCCAAATCCAGTCTCAGCATCTGGCTGACTGTGTGACTAATAATAATAATAATAATTATAATTATTAAATAAATAAATATTTATTAAATTAATATTAAATATTATTAATATTAAATAAATATTATTATTATTATTATTATTATTATTATTATTTTATCTTGTACTAGATCAACCTTCCCCAATCTTTAGATATGTTGGAACAAGAGTTCCCAAAATTCCTGGCCAGCAAGAAACACAGACTGGGAATTATGGAAGGTGTAATTCCAACATATTTGGAGGGCACAGCTTGGGGAAGGCTCTGCCTTTATTTCTATGAACCCCAGACAATTCAGAGAGCCAGCATGTTTTTTGAGAAGCTCCTGAAACAGAAAAAGAAATTAAATTAAATCCAGCACCCAGAGATTTCTACAGACAAAGCAAACACCAAGGTTCTTGCTCCTCACAAAAGCCCCTTTTATTCTCCCTGAATTGGGAACTGGAGCTTGGATGGAAGTTTGTTGATTTGTCAGAAAACCGCTCAGGCAGCAGCTAGGCCAGTTGCCATGGCAACAGCCACGGCCACAGGGCATCCTTTCAGTCCAGTTAATTCAGGGCTTATACAGCAATGCTGCAATTTTAATGAAAAGGGGAAAGGAAAGCTCATTAAAATACATAAAATAGAAGGGCGAGAGCTGGGCAAATGCTTGAAAACAGCTCTGCACTTCCTGTTTTTAAAACTGAGTACTATTGTGATCTAGGCATAGAGGTTCTTGCTCTGATACAAAGCTCACAGCCTGAATGCATCTCTCTCTCTCTCTCTCTCTCTCTCTCTCTCTCTCACACACACACACACACACACACACACAGAAGCTTTATTACTACAAAAGCCAAAAGCCTTGTGGCAAGTTAAGGTTATCACAGTCTATGCTTTTGTGGCTATAGCCCGCTTCATCATAAGCGTTAAACGGACTACAGCCTATGGAAATGATGCTATACGTGTATTTTTAACTGAAAACTTTATCTTGTTTTCATTGCAATGAATATGACTCCCTTCCTGAAACCCTAGCCTTGAACACTGTTGCAAAGATAAGATGTTCTGAGTTCCTTTGAGGCAAGGGAGGGCAAAATAAAGAGAAATAAAGGAGAGGCAAGCAAAGCAACAAAGAAGGAAAATTCTGTGAATGCATTACATTTGGTGGTCATCTATAGAAGGGTTCCTCAACCTCAGCAACTTTAAGATGGGAGGACTTCAACTCCCTGAATTCCCCAGCCAGCTGGGTGGGGGATTCCTGGGGGGGTAAGCCTTCCCATTTTAAATTTCCTGGGGTGAGGGAACCCTATCTATAAGTTTTTCCAATATAAAACCACA